TGATGGATTTTGTAGTCTAAAATATTTGGAAGGTACCAGATTAGAAATGGCTGTCACTCATAGGGCCACTTATGTTTCGGGGGTGATACAGAGCATCTATACATGATCCATTTACACATTTATTGGCAAATACAATCAAACTGTCACAATAAACATGTAAATAATTGTAAGATCATATCCAATTATATTACAACCATCATGTAAGATGTTTATTTTGTCTACTGCTAATTGAGGTGAAGAGCTAGATAATTATTTATGGCATCTCCCAGAATCCTTCGGCCAGCATGGTGGCTAGGCTATGCCACACTTGATGCTAAAAATAAAATTAAGTTAAAGTACAATGCCTCATGGGGACGTGGTGGCGCTGCGGGCTAAACCGCAGAAGCCTGTGCTGCAGAGTCAGAAGACCAAGCAGTCGTAAGATCGAATCCACACGACGGAGTGAGCTCCCGTTGCTTGTCCCAGCTCCCGCCAACCTAGCGGTTCGAAAGCATGCAAATGCAAGTAGATAAACAGGGACCACTTCAGTGGGAAGGTATCAGTGTTCCGTGTTTAAGTCGCACTGGCCATGTGACCACGGAAGATTGTCTTCGGACAAAATGCTGGCTCTACAGCTTGGAAACAGGGATGCGCACCGCCTCCTAGAGTCGACCACGACTGGACAAAAAATTGTCAAGGGGAACCTTTACCTTTTACCTTACAATGCCTCATGGAAATTAATTATTTTATTGTTTCGAAAACAACCAGGATTAATTTCATTTCCATTGTATTTCATTGATATGGAATAAGAATGGCAATACAGAACCCCAATGGACAATCCTGTGCAATTTCCGATTCAATTTTATTAGTCTTGGTTTCTCTAACTACAGAATAACCAGCATCAAGGAAGAAAGCAGAACAAATCCTTCTAGGTAGCTTTGGCAGGCTTGATTTAGTATCAAAATTAGTGCCTCCCATGCTCACTTCCTCTATGAATGAACATAGGGAAAGGAAGAACTGTTACCAAAGAAAAGAAGCCACTTATGGAAGGATTCTTACCAGTAGACAAAACAGAAACAGTTCCTAAAGGACACGTACACGCACACGCACACGCGCGCACGCACACACACACGCACACACGCACACACGCGCACACCAGCATGTACGCATGCGCGCACGCGCGCACACACACAGAGTGTGTTTTGGAGTACTCCCCACTGGAATGAAGGCTAACATTGTGGTTAAAGTTAGATCCAGGTTAAATTTTGTATTTCTTGGACTTGCTGAGACTTCTAATGTTCTTCCGAATGAGAACAACTAGCTTACAATGAGAGCACATCACACGGCTGCTTCACAGCAGCTGATAAAAAGACCACGGGCCATTTTTATCCCAATCCATTATACTGGCAAAAAGCAATTGGCACGATTTCTGCCTCAGGCATTTTCTGTCCGCCAACCAACAAATCATTTACACAGCCACTGACTAAAATTTGGGGATTCTGTTTTCAGTTCTTTGGATGACAATGTCTTAGCTTGTCTGTATCTGTGTGAATTTTGCAACAGGACCTGATTCTGGAAGATTAAAACAATGCATGAGGGGTAAACATATGTATGCCAATATCCAAGGACTACTTAAAAGCTTTCAATGGTTTAGGGCCTCAATATTTGGCGGAATGTCTCTCTGACAAACTAGCTACCCATCTCACCCATTCCTTGCAATCCTTGATGCCAAGAATTGTAACATCCAAGGAAACCAGAAAAGCCAACACTAGGAACCAAGCTTTTTCAGTGGGGGCCCCTCTGCCTCTGGAATAAGCTTCCTGCAGGGGGTCCACTGGGCACCCTCCCTCTCTGTTTTCAGGAAGCTAATTAAGACCCAGTTACATAAAGTTGCCATTTACTAGTCTGAATATTGCCCTGAGATGCTCAAATGGATTTTAATTTGCGCATTTTTATTTAAAGGTAGTTTAGTTAGCAACAGGGTTTATAACCTTTGGCTGGAAAGAGCCAGTAGAACAATCCTTTGAACTTAGCCATAGATTGTTAACATCAGGAAAACTGCTAATGCAGTAGAGAACTGTAATGGCATAGCTGGTTGGTAGCTCTGCCAATAGCAATTTGCAGAAAGAAAATACTATCCTATCTGGCCAAAAATGTCATTCTTTGTGATGTTCTTTGCTGTTGCCTCTCATTATAGCCTGCAATTTCTTTGCATTTGTGTAGCTGGAGAGTCCTTATACCCACTCCATTTTAGCTAAGCAGAATATTTATGAAGTTCCACAGTAGCCAATATATTAATAACCTGGACCAAAATCCTGTTGTGATAAAGTGCAGGCATAATTGCACAATGATTTTCCCCTATTGACAATCTCTTCTTTGCAGTACCAGTCATCTGCTTGGTTTTGCAACCAGTGTATGATCTGGCACACAAAAATTCACCAGCCAGAAGGGATGAAACCACTTACTCAATTGTCACAGTAAAATGCATTTCCCCAACAGGATTCTGGCCAGGTATGTACATATACAACCACATACATTCATCCATCAGCTACACTAGATATAATTCAACTGTGTCAGTATTTCAGAATGTTATAGCTGTAACTGGTTTCACTGAAAACAAAAAGTCAGGAATTTAATATCACTGAAATATCTTATTTCTGATTTGGGTATTCACCTTTACAAATGTTTTCAGTGATTCATATTTTCTTGTAACTGAGAAATAAGCTAATATAGTAGAATCTGGTTTTCCCCCCCAAGTGGAACATAAACAAAGCCTTGCAACTGTAATCTTATTTTATTTTATTTTTTATTTGTTCCATTTATATCCCGCCCATCTGGTATATTTTCAAAGGCCAGAATCTACCTGCTGATTTACAGTTGCACAAGTGAAATCATGTACGGTAAATTGTGGTTGAAAATTGTAACTAATTTCTAAGGTGCTGTTTGCATTCCTGGGTGTGCACTTAATCCTGCATTCAGGCACACAGCTAAGAATAAAATGAGTACCTCATTAATGAGTGGTAACTTGCCTATTCGATATACATGATTTCACTCATTCCAGTATCATGCCAACTGGATTCTGGCAACTGCATATCTGCATAATTTGCAATATCCCAGATGCAGACATGCTATTGATTAATAACAGCACAGACATCAACAACTCAATGGGCACAAGTGGAAGAGTACAGAATTAAGAAAGGTGTGCTTGAAGGTAGGATAAATATATGCTTTGAAATATGGAGATCTAGCTTGGACTCTGGTTTCAGTGACAGCTAATCCTACAGCGTCTGGAACATTGAAGAGAAAAGAGGAGACTAATGCAGGCTTCATCCTGAAAACTGGATAAAGGAATCTCTGGATACAACCTGATACTTCGGGTAAAGAGAGAGGAGTTCAAGCCTCCACAAATCCACCAAGTTCAATGAACTATCTTTCACAGATAACCTTTACTCAGCCTAACACAAACCAAAAGAATCAGATGGTTGTTAAAATTTCAGGCACGCCTTTGTTTATTTCTTTGATTGAAAGAGAACAATAAAACAATAAAGCACATTTTGACAAGCAAAAATGAAACAAAAGGTGAAAAGACAGGTGAAAAGCCATTTCATCAGATGTTGTACTAAAAGTCTGTGAAAATAAAAGACCTTGTCCTGGCACTGGGAAGCATCAAGAAGACATCAGTTTGTGTACAAAGGGGAGGTGCATATCCCTTAAGTGGGGTTCCTTGACCAAAAAGGCCATCTCCAACTCATTCCCTACCTATGCTATCCTAGTTGTGAAAAATCCAGAGGACTACAGTGCAATCATAAATCCAGAGGATATATGATTGCACTGCACATGGCAGGCTGATGTCTCTCTACCAGAGAATGTGAGGCTGTAAGAATAAGGAGGACCAACTCATTGATTTATGGTCAGAAACAAAACTAGAGATAGTGGATTTTTTTTAAATATTGAGAAGATCTATTCCCACCTGCTGGTCCCAATTATTAGCTTAGTGGCTGTGCATTTTCCTCCTAGGCTTGACAGGCAGGCCCACATCAAATGCAATGTAGTAGTCTAGACTGAACATTTTAAGAAAGTGTTTCCCAACTTGGAAGTGGATAACAAAATGTTTTCAGGTTGTGTGTGTCATGGGTTGCCTTACATATGTTGTAGCCCTTCTTAAATAATTTCTTCCTTGACTTTTCAGAGCTGGATATTAAAATTAGTATATATGTTTATCTCATGAGAAGAGAAGACTCCCTGGAAAAGACCCTGATGTTAGGAAAGTGTGAAGGCAAGAGGAGAAGGGGATGACAGAGGATGAGATGGCTGGACAGTGTCACCGAAGCGACCAACATGAATTTGACCCAACTCTGGAAGGCAGTGGAAGACAGGAGGGCCTGGCGTGCTCCATGGGGTCATGAAGAGTCAGACACAATAACAACAATATATGTTTATGGGCCTGTTTCTTATACATACACATACAGTATATACTAACTTTAATATCTGGATCTGAAAAGGCTCTACTTTATGAGAAGGGGTGACTTTACCCAATTAAAAATGCCTTTTTTGTAAATGTGTATGGGGGTCATATTTAACTTGGCTATTATAAAAGGAGGTTGTGATTTGAAGAAAAAAATTGGGAACCACTACTTTAAGACCATGCAAAAGTGGATCATGACTATCTGAATCTAGGAGCAGCCTCACCAATAACATTGGCCCACGAGGTGCCCAGCTGAATCAGCACATAACCCTAGTCAGCAAAACTAAGGACACTTACCTTTTCGGCAGACAGCTCCACATATCACCCCAGCCAACATGCTCCTGCTGGCTGGAATTCTGGGAGTTACAGTCTAAGAAGGAACACTGCCAAGCTCTAGTACAAACCTGTTCCTTGAATAGGTGCACAACTGAATAAAGAAACAGGCTGAACATAGGACTAGAAAAGGAGGAGACGTTCGTAGCTAATACTGATTTTTGCTAAAATAAAAGTAAGAGCAAAGCAGCCTGGCTGCTTAGTCTTCAACTGAAAAACTCACATAAAAGAATCCCAGGGGTCCCGAGATGTAAGGCATTTTCATCCCCAAGAGGTACTTCACTTGTGAGGTCACAACATGTGTGGCGGCTCCTGTTGTCATTGCGCTTATCACTGGCTCTGTCAGCAAGAAGGTAGCACTGCCCAGGTGCAGCACAAACACGGCTACCTGAGAAACCAAAGATATACAGCTGTGATTACATATGAACACAATTACTGATGATAATGCACAAATTAGAAATGCCCATCTTTTCATTTCTTTTCTAGCAAGGGTGGGAGATGAAATAGCGGCATGAGCTAATAAAACGATGTGGTTCTTAAATTACGCATTGCATAATGCAAATAAACTTTTCGACACATGTCCACTTTCATACATTTATTATATGCTATCTCTTTCATATCTCTGGTTTACCAGGCTTGGCACCGAGATTAGGTATAACAACAGCTGGCTCTGTCAATGTGTATTCAGTGCAGCGACTTCTCTGAATATTTGTTTTAAGTGTTGTTGTTTTTTTTGGTTAACCCGAGCTTATAAACGCAACGTGGAGGATGGAAAAGTTAAACCACAAACACTACGCCAGAGCTACTTAAAAACCTATTCAAGTCACAGTTTCTCTTTGATTCAGTTTCATATTTCATAGTCATTGATTTGAAGTTATAAAGGTCAGATGTTTGGGCCTCACAGGATGAAGAGGTAGAAAAAGTGGCCCTCAATTGTGTTTCTACCTCTTTTTTTAAAAAGGGTCAGTTGTGTTTCTATTAGCACCGTTGGTTTTGCCAGTCAAACTGGCAAAGTTCTCCTACAGATCCCTGTGTACCCCAAAACCAGTTCTTGAAGGCTGGGTAGTCCTCTGTTTCTGATTTTGGCTGGTGTGGAGACCCACATGAAGGAGGGGAGGAGAAGAATGTTGCATTATGTGACTCAGCATTTGCGAGCACAATGCTGAATGTACGGCATTATACCTATATATTGCAGATCTGTGATTTTGTTGGTACAGGCAGTCCCTCCAGCAATGCAGACTGCAATTTTTTCACGCTATCATTGCATTCATAGTTGTTGTGGCCATACTTAGATAGACTGCTCCTCAAACAGCAGACTACCATCCTTGTTGCTTTTTTTCTAGTCAACCTTAAAAGTGACCCTTGAATTCCTGAATTTGATAAAGTATTTTCTATAAGTGTACAACAAATTCATAGTTTTAGATGGAATAGTTGTTGAAATAGGTGCTCCTAATTTTCCTAAAAGACATCTGTGCACACAGCAAGTGTGCAGCTACACAGCGACAGAAATGTTAATTCTTCCCTCAAGTCTCCAGGCAGATCTCAGTGAACAGTGCTGAAGGAGGAGAAGGTGCTCGTTAAGGTGCTGCACTTGTGCCAGGGTGGGGTGGGGACTGGGGAGAAAACCACTGGGTATATGGATTTGATCCATAATGCCGTCTGAAGCAAGGGAGTTGAGGACCAGCATCTTAACTCACAAACATTCTTACTGTGCAGAACCTAACATCTCTGGGAATGGAATGTCACTGTCTTGCCAATCCTTACTCGCATATTTATTACTCACTGTCTTCACTGTGCAGGATACAGTGTACATATGCATTTTTTTCACAACCATATGTGTGCCACAAAACTGCATTAGGTTCTATTCTTGTGTTAACCTATTTAAAAACATTTTTAAACTCAAGAGGCTTATGTACCTCAGTGACACTTTCAGATACAGGCTTTTTTGGTTGCAGCATGGTGCTAACTCAAGGTGCAACTACACTGGAAAAAATACAGGACATATCACAGGTTTGGGACTTACTAATTCACTTTTTTCCCATTGATTGCCTCTTCCAATCTGTAGTGTTTTCTTCTGCCACTGGGGCTTCTACTTTTTAAAAAACAACTCATTAACTCGTATTAGTTCAGATGTATGATCGCTTGAACAAGTGGAGAAAAGCCATTCTACCAGTACATAGGAAGGGCAGGCAAAGCTTTTTTGGCAGTTGCTTGCTTGCTTGCTTGCTTGCTTGCTTGCTTGCTTGCTTGCTTGCTTTTTCTTGCTTTTTCTTTCTTTCTTTCTTTCTTTCTTTCTAACAGCACAGGGCAAAGCCAAGCCTCAGAACGCCTTGGCAAGACTCCCCTGCCCTAGTTGAGGGCAAGGAAAGCCTCTTTATAGTTTAAAAATGGATTGTAAAGCCAGTAAGACTTTGTGCCAGTGCTGATATGCTAGACTAGAGCACTTAAACACACACAAAATAGGCTAATCAAAGGAGGAAATGACAGGAGGAAAGCCTTTGTACATCTTGTTAAGGCAGTTCCTCTGAACTTCGCCTCCTACAGACACTTCAATAGAGTTGCAGACAAGCTACAAACAAAGCTTTTTTTGTGGCTACCTAAACTGAACAGATTCAAGTTTTCTGGTGCAACTTCACAGTGAGTCAGCACTATTCCTGACCTTCTCATATTGCAGTTGAATTTAATAATATAAAAAAGCACAATATGACTTAGTTTGACCATAGAGAACACAAGTTCACATCTTCCCAGTTTGTTGCTGTTCAGTGCAAAGGATCACAGGGTTTACCAGGATCCACTGCAGACCTTAGTTTTAAAGCCATGTGAAAAAAAAGGCCAACAAACAGACACACACAAAACAGTTCTCTTCAATATATGCTAGGAATCCTTTTATAAATATGTAAGAAATCAAACAAGAAGGTGGTGCAATGAGAAATGTATATGAGAAGGTGCATTTAACTTCATCAGCCCATCTAGACACTGGCTGCAATCTCACACAAGGGGTGCTTAAGTCATTTGAAACCCATTTGTTTAAGAATGCTTAACTCTGTTGCACTGTGGCCATTGCTCAATATTATTTAGCCAAAAGTTTAAAACACTTTACAAAAGAGTCTGTATTGATGGTACATGTCTTGACACTGCTGCTGCCGCCGCCACGGAAAGTGAAAGATTATGAAATTTTTTAAAGGAACAGGTCCAAGGACAAATGGACATGGGAAACCCACAGTGTGCTTCCAAAATCAACAATGTGAAATAGAAATGGCTTGTTCAGATGTATCTTTGGCCAAGAGTCATCTTGAAAAGGAAAGGGTTGGGCTAATTATATGAAAATATGGTATGTTCTCTTCAGGCATCGTTCATTTTGGACAAGGCTGCTCAAGAATAGCGATCTTTAAATTACCTGAAATGGGTTCTCATGATGACACTTTGTTACAAGGATCAAGAGACACAGAAAACCTGCATCTTGGCCAACAACCAAATGTGCCTGGGGACAATTTGGCACTGAATTGTCTTGAAGGATACACACAGTTGCATCAGCTCATGTGATGAAAGTGGCCTTTCTAAGAACAATAAAGTAATTTCAGAAGATAACACTGTCTCCAAAGGAATGATAGGCTATTTCTTCTGGGTTTCATTCCTGTTTGTGTACTCTAATGGCCGTAGGCTTTGCTTTAAAGCCTGTTGAAAATGAGGAAAAATTCACACAGGTATGTTCATCACTCAACAGCCATAACACTTTAACCTTGTTGTTGTTAAGTACCATAAAGTCACTTCCGACTTATGGCGATCCTATGAATGAGCAATTCAGTAACTGAGTAATTCAGAAAAGTTATGGGCTATGCCATCCAGGGACACCCAAGACGGACAGGTCATAGTGGAGAGTTCTGACTAAACATGATCACTCCAGTATTTTTGCCAAGAAAAGCCCATCCAATCAAGTTCTTGGATTTCCTAAGGAAGCAGTCCTTTTAATGTAGAGAGCTAAAGCACGCCACACGTCCAGGAGGTGGAGGGATCTCTCAACACCAGTGGATGGTTCAGGAAAGAAAGTAGGTAGAATGATTGGTTGATGGACGTGAAAATCAGTAAGCACTTTGGGAAGGAAGGAAATGTCTGGATAAAAGGTGACCTTATCTGGGTGTAATTGAAGAAAAGGAGGGTCAACATGGAGAGCTGCCAGTTCAGATGCTCTACGGGCAGAGGTGATAGCCACTAGAAACAGGACTTTAAACAATAACAGGTACTCTGTGGCAGTAGCGAGGGGCTCGAAGGGTGGGAGACAGCCACCTCGGGAAAGTATGTAGCGACCACTGAGGTGTAGGGAACGGTCTAGGAGCATTAAGGTGGGCTACTTCATGGAGGAATCTTTTCAAAGTAGGATGCCAAAATAATAAAGCAGCATCAGAATTTTGGGGTTGGTGTGCCACAATAGCTGACATATAGACCTTTAGTGTAGACAATAACAGGTATGATGAAATAGGTAAGATAGGAAAAGTAATACCACTCTCAGAGTAGTCGGTGCGGTTGCAAGAGCATGTGTTCTTGCAAATTTTTGAAAGGCCATCCATTTATAGGTGTAGAGATGATTTGTAGAATGTTTCCTCAAGTGAGAAAGGATAGTGTCTATTGAGGTAAGATTCTCCAGGCCGTCTAATGTAGAGATTGGAGGTTGGGGTGGAAGGTCTGTCCTTGGTGCTGTGTGAAGAGGTGAGGGCGACAAGGTAGCCACATTGATTGGAATGTTATGGAGGTCAACATCGTGAACCACGTTTGCTTTGGCCAGTATGGGGCAATTAGAATTGCATTGATGTGGTCCTGTTTCATTTTTTCAATGGTTCACAAGATGAGTGGTATTGGAGGAAAGAGATAGACTAGATGAATACTCCAAGATATCATGAGGGCATCTCCCAATGATCCCCGCTCTTAAAAGTAGCTGGTGCATTTTCTGTTCGTCTTTGTAGCAAACGTGTCTATCAAAGGTTGGCCCCACTGTTTGCAGATTTGGGGGAACACGTCATGATCGAGAGACTACTTGTGCATCTGGAAAGTTCTCCTGCTCAGATTATCGGTCCAGGCATCGTCCTGAGTGGCAATGTGCACTGCTGACGGAAAGATGTGGTGGTCCAGGCACCACTCCCAAAATTGCACAGTGAGGTATAGGAGGGGATATGAATGTGTGCCTCCCTGTTTGTTTACATAATATAGTGCCATAGTGTTGTCTGTGGTGACCTGGACTGCAGTACCTGCAATAATTAGTAGGAAAGCACAGAATGCCTTGAGAATGGCTAATAACCCCAGGTTGTTGATGTGGAAAAGCCTTTCTCATGCTGACCATGTTGCATGCACATGAAGGTCTCCGCAGTGCGCTCCCCAACTGACACGGCTGGCGTT